GGAGAACTTTTTGCATTAAGGGGGAGAACATTGATCATTGCATGTTTAAATTGCGTTAATATTCAGGCATTATTAGCTTTGCTATTTTATGTTTGTGTTTATTTTCTTAATTAAGCTTCAAGGGTAGTTGTGTTTGAGCTAATGTGTAGATTACAGGTTGCTACATGTGTTGAAGCTTCATGAGGTTCAAAAAAATTTCGCTGAACTGGTTCAACTTCAGCATTAAAGCCAAAATTTCAAATCTGTCCATCTTGAACCAGTTCAAGGGTGCTGAACTGGTTCAAGAACCAAAGGCAAAACTCTCTGGCCTTCTTGAGCCAGTTCAGCCCCTCTGAACCAGTTCAAGGTCTCTTGGTAACATTTCAAGTTTCAGTTTTCTTTTTGCTGAATGTTTCCTTTTTGAACCCAACTTCTTTTCAAGTCCTATACACGAAATTTTTTATATTTTCAGAGGGATTAAGACTTTATAAACTTTATATAAACCTTGTCATACACATAGGTTTATTCATGACTTTAGGGAAAATTAATTCTATATTTTGAAAAAACCTTTTAGAGAAAGAAAATTCAGAAAATCAAATCTGATTGTTCTGAATTAATTTATGAGAGCATACACATGTATTCATGAGTGATTTAGTAGTATTATTCTCTATGTCATCGGAATTGGAGCTATATTGAAGATTTAGATATTCCGTAGGAAGAGCAAGATTTAATTCTTTTACATCAAGTTTAGATCTTGAAAAACAAAAGTAAAAGCGATCACACTTTGAAAGGGTTGGAGCATTCGAGGAGTGTTATCTGATCTACCAGTTACTTTTCTACAAATATCAAGTATAAGCCTGAGGTCAAGTTGCTGTTGGATGGGGAATCGCAAAGCTAGAGGATTGTCAGCAATTGGGGTTTGGTAGAACGATAGGGTGTGAGCCAGAGGATTGTCAACAATTGGTGTTTGGTAGAATAATAGGGTGTGAGCCAGAATCAAATTTCGGTGTACTTTATTCCAAACATAGTGGATTAGTTTACTTTGGACTGAATAGTCCACGAGGTTTTTTTCATACAAACAGTTGACGTATTTTATCAACTGGGGTTTCCTCACTAAAAATCCTGGTGCAATCTCTCTAAATTTTTACTTGCTTTACTTTACAGTATTTATATTTGTGATTGTGAATGTCTAAATTGATCATATAATTTAATCAATCATAAATTGTGCAAGTTGACCTAATAATCAGATCTAGGTCATTAAAGGAGTTAATCATAATTAAAATCAACTAACTGTTTCTGCACCCCATGTAACTCTATTTTCACACATATACATGACGAACACTGAGGGAGGCAGTTTCCCCAATTCCTGCTCACCACCTGCAATATATACTTTCTTCATTGTTTTAGATACCGATTTCTTTTCCAATTTATTCTTTGCTATACTTTTTATCCTTGCCATTGTATTTCCCCAAATGTATAAAACCCTCACAAAATCACATGAATAATTTACCACTTTTGACGGAATAAGATGCAACAACAATAGCAATTGAACAACAAGAACTACTATTAAACAAACCAATTCAAAGGGAAGACGCACAAATGAAAATACAATACCGGCTCGGAGGCCAAACAAGATGAACCAGATGAGGGAGGATGAAGGAAGGAAGAAAGAGAGAAGAGAAGGTGAAACAAGAAGAAAAGAACAGAAGCTGAGGAAGTAAAGTAAAAATTGAATGAGCAAAGGGAAGCCACCGAAGGCGCACAAGTCGGAGGGGAAACCAGAGGAGGATAAAGGAAGAAGAACAATATAGAAGCTGGTAGAAGAAGAAGACAAAGATAAGATGATAAGCGCTGAAAAGTGCGCATTTAAACGCCTTAAGCTTGATCATTCTAAAACCTTATCCTATCTTATTTTTCCGTTTGAATCTAATTTCATGTTATTTCCCTTTTCAGGCACTTATCCCCAAAATAAGTCAATTCAACCGAATTAGAGCATAAAGATGCAATCTCAAGCTTAGAGGAAGAAAGAAGCAAAGTAGAAGCAAAGCGATGGAAAACAACAATCTTCGATCGATCAAACCAAGCTCAAATCGAACACACAGTGATCGTTCCAACAATGCCAAGATAGATTGAGCCTTTTGTCATTTTCCTCAGCAAATTAGCTTCTTCGATTGATCCAACATTCCTTCGATCGATCAGACTTATTTGATCTTATCCCCACCTACCATTTTTGTCCTTTTCCCAAAATATCCCGAAAATATTTCAAACTTTTCATTATTCCAAAAAGGCGCCGCCATGATTTGATCGATCTGACCACCCTTGTGATTGATCGAACCTCCTCAAGTGCGAGAAAAACAGAGTTTCAGCTAATTAAAATGTGTGCTCGGGGTGCAATCATTAATAGGTCCTAATGAACGAGGTCTAGGCATGGGGTATGACATTTGAGCTACCTATATGAGAGTTTTGGCTATTTCTAATAGAGAGGTTGCTTAGTTAGAAACTTAGCTAGAGATTAGGGAGAGACACACACAAATTGGGAAAGTTCTTTATCTCTTCTAAGGTTTCTACTAAGGAGGAAGAAGATCATTTCTAGCATGGAGTTAGCCCTTGAGGGTTGGATGACAACATCAATGAGTGGCTAAACATCTTCTTGGGGCTAGAGTTAGCCTTAATCATGCTTCCTAGACCTTGATGATTTGTAATTAATGGGGATTAATGTTTTAATACTTATCTTGACCTTTGATATATATAAATCTTGTTTCAACAATGATTTATGTGGTTTAGTACTTCCTATTGATCATTTAGTTCTATTCATATGTCTATGTATGCTATAATGAATGTTCATGTGTTTATCTCTAGATTTTGTTACATTGATGTATGTCTATGTGTGTTAATGTTATGAATCTAGTAATGGTCAAGATATTGTGCTTTAATGGAATACTCTTGTGATTTATTTGATGGTTCATACTTATTTCTTGATGAATTGTGTTTCTTCCTTAGTTTAATTAGTTTAATTTTCATGTCCCTACCTTAGTTGTAGTGTAGTTACCTTATTCCTTAGATAGGAGGACAATCCATACTTGTTGTTTGATGTTCCATACTTATGAATGCAAGTAGTATATTTCTCAATTTGATAATGTGCATCGATTGTGGGCTTATGGAATGATTAATGCCTTAATTTGATATATTATGCTATTCACTAGATTGGTTAGACAATGTATGCTTACTTGGCCATCCATGATAATGTTTCAATCAATAGCACACACTTCCACTTACAACACAATTTTCCCTTAATCCATCAAATGTTGAATGTCTAGGAAAGTAATGCTTAGTGGTGAACTCTATGACCGAAGACTTCTCTTTTATTCTCTACACCTTACTTAATTTAGTTATTTTACATTGCATTTACTTAATTTTAAATTGTAGTATAACCAAACTAATTAAATCATTTTTGATCATTCGACCTACTAATCCAACATTGTTTTCATACAAATACGACTGCTTTCCCTTTGGACGATCCCTACTCACTCTTGCTATGTTTTAGTCAAAAGTAGTAGTGTCATTCTATAAATTTAAACTTGGCCACATTTTTACACTTTTGTGCAACTCGGTTCCGGGCGACACCAGAAGATAATAAGTAAAAATGTTATTTGGGTAAGTAAATATTGATTTGGGTCCCACATATAACTTTTGTATATTGTATTCGTACATGGTAAATGAAAGTATGAACTTTTTTTGCAGTATTCGTACATGGTAAAAGAAAGTAAGTTTTTCAGACTTCAGTGCTGAATTGGCGCTTCATCATCAGTGACAAGGCAATGAGAAGGTAAGCTACGCTGACTTGGCTTTATTCTAGCAATTGGATCCTCTATGGACACCGTCCAGTGAGAGGTGCCATGGAGAGGATTTATGCCCTCTTTTACCTCGTCCACTTCTGACTTACACTTCATTGTCCTCCTCTATGGTGAAGCCAAAAGCGTTGTTGCTGGTTGGAGAGGATACTGTGACCTAAGATACACGCCGACCGCTGTCTCCATTGCTGGTGGAATCTGTTTGCACAGATTGGAATTCCTTCGGCGCAGAACTTCTCCAGTCGAAATCTAGCGAATTGACAGTTTTCCGGCGAGTGCCAGATCGGCTCTGACTTATTAGGGCGAAGCCAAATGGGATGTTAGAGAGATGCTGTGACAAAAAATGCGTGCGGACATCCGTATCAGTCGCCGATGGAATCTGCTTCTCCGGGAATAAATCTTCAAAAGGGCATTTATCGTTGGTAATATTGTTACGACAAGGATATATAAATTAATTATTATTATTAATATATAAAAAGGGCATTTATGAAATAATGATGAATGGTCCCTAATTGACATTTAACTTCTTAGTTTGAAGACTATTAATATTTTCGTGATCACTTTTTAATCATTAAAATCTACTGTAATTTTTCAAGAAATAGAGTTGCATCATAGCCACGGAAGTCTTTCACGTGGACTGACAAGTAAATTCTTTGTCCTTTGTCTGACGCCATAGATGAGTTTAGATGAACCTTGACTTTTCCTGGATTCATTTTCCATTCATTTTGGTCCGAGGTGTAATTTTGAAATTATATTTAGATGATTAATTAAATGTCAACTTGAGACCACCGTGCCAATCAATCCAATTTCATAAAATGAAGGAAGACAAAGTGGGGAGAGAAAATAGAAAAGAAAAAAAGAGAGAAAAAGTCGGCATCATATTTCATATTGTAGTCTATTTATACCGTTAGCCTAATTATCTCAATTGTGTTTTATTACTCAAAATCAATTGCTCTATATTTTTTGTTTTGACGACACGACACAATTAATTAAAATTTAAAAATTAAACACTCCAGCAGTGGGTCTTTCAATTTTTTTTTATTTTATATATATATATATATATATTTTGTCAATGGTAAGAAACTTACGTACCCATTTTGCTCATTTAGAGACTCAAACCTTTACTAGCTATCTACTTTAGAAGATAAAGGAGATACCACTATAACCCTGATTAAGATAGCAACATTCACCAACATCTTTGACTAACTTTTTGAAGGGAGAAATTTTTTTATTTTGGATGAGCAAAAAATAAGTAGGAGAAAAAGAAAAATATGTAGTGCAACTCCAGCAAGATAGTAGTATAAATACCGTTCATCACATGGTTAGAGAACACAAAGAAAACCAACCAATCTTTATTTGCAATCCTCATTGATTGATTGTTTTTGTTGCTTCATTAACTGTGAGTGTTATATTCACCCATTCTGAAAATGATCATCGGAGAACATTTGTACCTGTTGGTTGCTGTGGTTACTCTAATATTATGCGTGGAAATGAAAGCAGCTCTTGGATCATTCACTACTTCAGGAGCTGGAGATGATGCTAAAGTGAGGTGTATAGAGAGGGAGAGACATGCTCTCCTTCAGTTTAAAGAGGGTATCAGTTATGATTACGGCCTTCTCTCTTCTTGGGGGAGCACAAAAGAGATGAAAGACTGCTGCAAATGGAGAGGAGTCCAATGTAACAACATTACTGGTCATGTGGTGACGCTCGATCTTCGTGCCTCGCTCGGTTGGTACAATAATTATCAGCATTTGAAAGGTGAGATTAGTCCTTCTTTGCTTGAATTGCAGCATTTAAAGTATTTGGACCTCAGTTGCAATGATTTTGAAGGGAGACACATCCCAGAGTTCATTGGTTCCTTTACCAGATTACGATACCTCAATCTCTCAAATGCTAACGTTGTTGGCAAAGTTCCTAATCAGATTGGGAACCTTTCCAAATTGAGGTCACTTGATCTTGATCAGGGCATTGAAAATAATGGAAGTCTGTATGTGAAAAACCTTGAGTGGCTTTCCCATCTTTCTTTATTAAGATATCTTGATCTGAGCCGGGTTGATCTTAGCAAAGCTATAGATTGGATGGAAGCAATCAACAAGCTCCCTCTCCTAACAGAATTTCACTTAATCGAGTGTAGACTCAGTGTTGTCATTTCTCCGTCACTTCCGCTGATAAATTCTTCTGCGTCTCTTGTTGTCCTTGATCTCTCTGGCAATTCTCTGACTTCTTCAATATACAGTTGGTTGTTCAACTTCAGTACCACCCATCTTGATTTCTCTTCTAATCAACTTGAAGGTGGGATTCCAAAATCCTTTGGAAACTTGAATAGTTTACGGATATTGTATTTGGGTTACAACGAATTAACTGGAAAGATTTCAGAGTTCCTTCAGATCTTGTCTAGGGTTGCAGAGAAGTCATTAGAGATTTTAGATCTCACCGCGAATCGAGTTGGTGGTTCATTGCCTGATAATATCTCAACATTTTCATCCTTGAAGGCATTGTATCTTGAAGAAAATCAATTGAGTGGGCCTTTACCAGGAACTCTGGGACAACTTCGCAATCTTATTTCGCTATACTTGGCTAATAACCAGTTGATTGGAACACTACCCAAATGTATTGGACAACTTTCCATGCTCGAAAGTTTGGACGTCGCTGTAAATTTTTTAGAAGGTACAATCTCCTAAGCTCAACTGTCAAATCTCCACAACTTACTGTAATTGGATTCATCATCTTTTGACTTAGCTAACATTAAACTGCAGTTTTGATTGGAATGGTGCTTTTCAATTACATATTTTAGGTTTTTCATCCTGCCCATACTTCCCAAACCGGTGGCTTCAAACTTTGAATAACTATTGTGAGCTTGATATAAATAGGATTTGTCGATCTCCCTGGTTTTCTTGACTAAAATCTACCTTACAACCACTCATATGCCAAATTTGTTAGGAAATATTGTTTCTTATTGTTTCATTGATTGCAGCTCTAATCATTTGCAGGTCCAATACCACTAGTTCTTCCCAATGTCACATATTTGGATTTATCCAGCAATAAGTTTTCTGGGTCAATTTCATTCTTATGTTCGACTATCAATGAGAACCTCAGGTTTTTTGACCTCTCAGATAACCATTTATCAGGAAAGCTTCCTGACTGTTGGATGCATATGAAAGAATTAGTTGTCTTTGATTTGGCAAACAATAATTTGTTTGGAAAAATTCCACAATCTTTGGGTTTCCTGACTCAGGTTCAGACCTTGCACCTAAGAAAGAACAATTTCATTGGGGAATTGCCTCCTTCTTTGAAGAATTGCAGAAACTTGTTAGTTATTGATGTTGGAGAAAATAAATTGTCAGGACACATACCAGAATGGATAGGGACACACCTAACAAGTTTAATTGTTCTTAGTCTGCGATTGAATAAGTTCCAAGGATACATACCTCCAAATATATGCCATCTCAACTCTATTCAAATCTTGGACCTCTCCCAAAATAGTATATCTGGGATTATACCACACTGCTTCAATAATTTTACTACTATGGTTTCGCGGAATAAATTAGAAAATTTAATTTTTTATGATTTTACAGGTCATGATGGTTCCTATTATTTTGGTAGGTATATAGACAGTGCATTGGTGCTATGGAAAGGACAAGAGTATAAATACCAAACTACTCTAGGATTGGTTAGAAGCATTGATCTTTCTAGCAATAGTTTAGTTGGAAAATTTCCTAAAGAAATATCAAGTCTTGCAGAATTAGTTTCATTGAACCTATCAAGAAATTCTTTGACTGGACATGTTATTCAAAAAATAGGTGAGTTAAAAATGTTAGAATCTCTTGACTTATCTAGAAACCAGCTTTCTGGTGAGATTCCTACAGACATCACTCGCTTAAATTTTCTTGGTGTCTTGGATTTGTCAAATAACAACTTGTCTGGAAAAATTCCATCAAGCACTCAGCTGCAGAGCTTTTATACCTCTGCATATGCCGGGAATCATGAACTTTGTGGGCTTCCACTTCCAAATAAGTGCCCAGGAGATGAAACAACTCTTGATCCTTCGGTTACCAATCGTGTAAAGACAACATCAATCAAGGAGATGAGGATGGGGTTATAAACAGAGAATTTTATGTCAGCATGGGGCTCGGTTTTGGGGTTGGATTTGGTGGAGTCTTCGGAACTTTACTGCTCAAACGTTCATGGGAATATGTCTTTTTCAAGTTTTTGATGAAAATAAAAGATTGGCTTTATGTGACAACAATAGTGAATATGGCCAGATTGAGGAGGTGGTTTTAAAGCTAATAGGTAAATATTTCCTTTGGCTTTTTTGAATTAGCTACACTTTCACTCCAATTTTGTTTATGTATTAGTTATATTTTCAATACTTTAATGTCATTCTTTATAACACTTCAAATTGGTTCTATGTGACAAAAACAGTGAATATGGCCAGATTGAGGAGGAAACTTCCAAGCTAACAGGTACATATTTCCTTTGAATTAGCTGCACTTTCTCTCAAATCTGTTTTTGCATTAGCTAGAATGCTAGATGTTCAATATCTGAATAACACTCTTTATCGAACATCAAATATGGTCATCAAAAGTGCCCCACTAAAAAACATTTAGTTCCTCTGTTTGTAAACTAATTTTTGCTAGTCAATTTTACATTGATTAAAACCAATTGCTTACGTTGTTTATTATTGTTTTGCATTTTCGGTGGATGCTATTTCACCTAAGACATGAGACAATAAGTTCCTAGAGGACAATGCCGAGTTTTGCAGAACTGCTGCTGCATGTTGTCTCCCCTCTATGATCTTGAAAAATATAATTTTATAAATATTCTCTACCTTACTTATTCTGGAATTTGTTAGTGTTGATTGAAACACCACCATATTGTGTTGCACTATTTGTATGACGACTGGTTCTGCCTTGCAGGGCAAATCCTCTCACTTATAGTGACACTAAGTTCTTACTTCGTTTCCTATGAAATAGGGCAGTGTTGATAATGTCTGGATAATGTCTCCAAACTAGTGAAGTTCATTGATCTTCCAAATTCCTCAAAAATTCCTCATGAATGTTTCGAGTCTTGTTGATGCTACCATTCAAATCTTGAGTGTTAGTAAACAAAAATTAAAGATACATTGAAGTGTAAAAAAAAAATAGCGAAACTTCATCAAAAATAAAAGGAAAAAATAATATTATTTAAGACCATTAGAGTTAAATATCACATAGCCTACTATCAAAGAACTGAAGAAGCTCTCTGTTTTCAATGTAAAAATTGTTGATTATGAGTTGCGTGGTTCCCTTGAACTAGGTAGTCGTTCCCTAGAATCAGAATAAACTTATTGCCTCTGACATCAAATACAGTGCACCTGCAGGAAGACAGAAAACCTTCTCGGGAATGCATTTTGCTATAACAGCTGCTGAAAATTACACCTCAATTCCTGTGAGAGTAGTAACAATTATGCACTGTTAGCCCTGACAAAAGCGAAAGCCAAATTTTCACCAAATCCTTTATCTCTGTTGTTTTGAAAATGGCAATTTGCCTTCTCTGTATTTGGACACTACCCTCATCTCTACAGTTCTTAAAGCCTCTGAATGTAAATCTCTAGTCAAGAAAATTACTCACAAAATCAATCACTGGGAGCTCGGAACCTCTGCTGTACATAACTTGTGGTTTACAAGATTGGACAGTCAATATCAAAGAAAGTAATGTGCTTTTGAATTCGGACCTTCCAACGCTTTGAACACACAAGTTCTGTACATTTGAGTATCCCGGCTCCAATCACTGGACCATCAAACATCTCTCCTATGTTAGTAGATGCTTGTTCATAAAATCAGTTCTCTTCAATATGCATGTTTACTGGTCTAGCAATTTCATCTTACGTAAGAAGATCTCAAAAGCTATCAATTAGTGCTGCAGAAACTCTCTGTCGGTTGGAACTAGCCAGAGAACTGCAGCAGCAAAATTAGATTGGCACAATGTATGCAAACCAAGAAATGAGGGAGGCCTCGGATTGTAAATATTAAATACTGCACAAGGTAGCAGTTTTTGTGCATATCTAGATTTTCTGTCCTTCATTCTAATGACCATTCAAATTCAGTTCATTGGCCATTGGAACATATTTAATAACTTTAATATTGGCCATTGGAACATATTTAATAACTTTTTATGCCCTTAAAGCCACCCTTTCCCTCACAAATTCAGTTCATTGGCCTCACCATATTGTAAGTCTCAATCCATGAACTACACGTCCTCTCAGCCTTACCTGAATGCCAATTCTCTAATGTCTTTTAGCTGGAACAAATTGGTTCAATGGTATCAACAAAATGGAATAATAGATCGGAACTCAACGCTCATACAATACACAAGTAGGGCTTAATTAGTTTAGTCTACCAAATCTAATTGAGAGGAATGACCAAATATTTAGAATTTTAGAGGCTCGAGTTTTAATCCCTCTAGAGTTTTCCTTACTAAATATGTTTCTGTGAGATCCAGGCTTTTGTCTCTCAAGGGTAAGGTGGCTAAATATAACTTCCTAAATTTTCTCCTAATGCTTCTCTGTTGGCCGATTTCCCTTAAAACATAATAAACACTTGTCGGCTCCTCACTGGTCCATGTCACCGCTGAGGTGGCAGCCAAGTTTTGGTGCCAACACTCCCACACAAGAATTTTACATTTCTCATGCCCTTAAAGCCACTCTTTCCCTCACAAATTCAGTTCAATGGCCTCACCACCTGGTAAGTCTCAATCCATGAACTAGACCTCCTCTCAGCCTTACCAATTTCTTGAATGCCAATTCTCTAATGTGTTGTAGCTGGAACAAATTGATTCAACGGTATCAACAAAATGGAATAATAGATCCAAACTCAATGCTCATACAATACACAAGTAGTGCTTAATTAGTTTGGTCTACCAAATCTGGTTAAGAGGAATGACCAAATATTTAGAGGCTCGAGGTTTAATCCCTCTAGAGTTTTTGCATGCTAAATATGTTTCCGCGAGATGCAGGCTTTTGTCTCGCAAGGGTAGAAATTCCAGATAGCTAAGAACTCTTGCAGCTGACTGAGAGCTTCCTTCTACAGTCATTAGGCTAATTTCTTGTTCCTTTTGAAGTTCTGGCTCTTTTGCATTCAATGGCCAATGCCCTGTTGGCATTCTGATTGTCACTGTTTAGTCATGTGATAGTTTCAAGGTGGCAGATTCTTCCAGCAAGACGAGTTCTGCCTCCTCAACTTCTCACCCCAGAGAAATTTACAGCAGTGCATATCTAAAATCTGGTCTGAGGAGGCACTCGAGCAATGACAATGACTTGACCAGAAACCCAAACCATAACCAAGTCTTGCAGAATTTGTTCCGTTGAACTTAACAGGAAAAACATCATTCAAAAGATTGGTTAGTTGAGGAGGCTAGACGCTAATTTAAGTTTATTTAGTGTCTTGGAATTGTGAAATTAATAACCACTTATCCGGAAGAATTCCAACAAGCACACTCAACTGCAGAGCTTTCGTGCCACTGTAGTTGCCGAAAATGACGAATGATGAATATTCATTGGAATATGTCTTTTTGAAGTTATTCATCAACATAAAAGATTGTCTCTTTTATGTGACAACAGCAGTGTACATGGCCAGATTGTGGAGGATAATGTAAATATATTTTTCATCCCTGTCTTACCCTGTTTATTGTGTGATGGGCTTCATGAGCTCTTTAAGGGAACTATCCCAAGCTTAAAATAGGGAATTGAAAATCCATAATGTAAGTAAATGTGTTCTCTCATTCGTTTTTCATGCATTGGCTAAACTTTCATTTCTTGAATTAGTTTTTTGCTAAAGGTCCAGGATTTGAATAATTAATATTCTTTATAACACTTCCAATTCCCTGCATGCATGAAAATTGTCACATAAACAAAAAATTAGTCTTGGTTTATAAACTAGTTTTGGCTGGCAAATTTCAGATTGCTTAAACTGATAACAATTTTTTTTTTTTTTATTTAATTTCTTGTTCTTTTGTTTTGCATTTCAGTGAAAGCCACTTAATCCAAGTGATGAGCTTTTGTTCTGTTTGTCTTGAAGATAAGTTCCAACCAGACACCCGCTGAAGCTAGCACCTTTTTATTTCATGAAGAATATAATTTTGCAAACATTATGCATGTGATTTGTTATGGTGGTTATTGTAAATTGAGAGAGAAACATAATATATTTTCAACTATTATATACGAAGACTTCTGCTGGTGTTATTATTTTTTGATTCTCTTATAGATTTGTTTACTTGTGCACTCTTTAAAATTATGTTTTCCTAAATAGTACACTTTGCTCATAGTCTCACTTTTTTTAATTCTTTTGTTGTATATATTTTCTTTAAATTATGCACAGCTTATTTGTTACATTATACATTCTTATTTGAATAATAATAGTACTATTTACCTATCAAGGAAAAAAAATGTTTCGTACTGACTAATGTTTCAGTGCTTCCATGACCAAGTCTTTGAGGTAAACACAATGCGTTATGGCGGAGCTAATAACATTCCAATATGACACAAAATGACATTAAAGACACAAAACTTTCCTATTCCCCTACTACACTTTAAAGACTTAAAGTCCATATGCTCCAAATTTTGATATGACTCTTTTCATTTGAATGATACTTCGCTGAAATTTCAGTGAAGGAAGAAATTATGTGTCAAAAGAGACTCGGCCTTTAGTCAAGTGATTGAGAAACAGAGTTGCATTATAGCCGCATAATATTTTGACAAATGACTTTTGGTTTCATTTTCCTTTCATTGTGGTTAAAAAATAAAAAATAAATAAATAAATTTGTACTATATAAGATTCTTTTAAAACTGTTATATAGTGAAAGCTACATCGGTGACAACATCAACGACTTAGCCCAAGTGGTGGCACCTCTTCCTTCCTCCATATTGAAACAATAATGGGTGTGTGTTTATTCATTATAGAATTTAAATTCCTAAATTTATTTTAATATTTCATTGTATGAATAGCATTTCCTTTATATATTTTGGTTTCCGAGTTTGACAATGGGCATCTTAGTAAGAGGAAGTTTTTTAATTTTTTTTAATTTTTAATTTTTATTTTTTGGGATAATAAGCGGAAGTTATGCTTGTTCACAAGTAACAATAAACAACTTTGAATGCACAAAGTAAGAGATAAATTCAGAAAAAAAATAAAATAAGATAAATAAAATAAAATTGATATTGCATTGATAATTGAATTTGTGATTCAACTCTCTGAATTACATATATTGATAATGAAAGAAAATCCTAATTTACAAAGAAATTAACAACAACATCAATCCAAATTCGTTTAGACAACGAACAAATTCTGAAATATTCAGCAAGCTTACTATAGGATAATTGTTATTGGGCTAAAACGGACGAAATCAATCCAAAAAATCTGTCAACATGCCTCTATTGCGGTCCAAACAAGCCATATAAGCTTCGGCAATCACCTTTACATCAACACTGAAAATGAGGGTGTACACTTGGAAGACACTATTTGATACTGTAAGTGATAAAATAATACTATTTACTTATTGGGGTGACAAAGCTAATACAATGAGATCATCTATCATGATCTCTGTAATTCTTTTATTAGATAGAATGACATTTAAGACCCACAACTTTTCTGGTCCCTGTTATACTAGTCCAGATGCAACAAATCTTCTAACGACTATCCTTGAATTATATTATTAGCAATATATAAAATATATAAAGTAAATTATATTGTAGTTGATATATTATTGGTCTAATTAGTTTAAATTGTGTATCATTGTTTATTTATTTGTTCGTTAACTGCGACGGTTACTTTCATCGGTTCTGAAAATTATCATCGGAGAAATGTTTTTTAAACATTTCTATGTGTTGGCTGCTGTGGTTTTAGTAATATTATGCATGGAAATGAAACCAACTCTTGGATCATTCACTAGTTCAAGAGTTGGAGATGATGGTAAAGTGAGTTGCATAGAGAGTGAGAGACAAGCTCTCCTTCAGTTTAAACAAGGGCTCTGTATGGCAACGAATTAATAGGACAGATTTCATTATACATTCTTATTTGAATAATAATAATATTATTTACCTATCAAGAAAAAAAAAATGTTTCAGATTGACTAATGTTTTAGTGCTTCCATTACCAAGTCTTTGAAGTAAACGCAACGTGTTATGGCGGAGCAATATGACCCAAAATGACATTAAAGACAAAACTTTCCTACTACACTTTAAAGACTTATGGTTCACATGCTCCAAATTTTGATGACTCTTTTCACTTGAATGATACTTCGCTGAAAGAGACTTGGCCATACTGTAACTGATTGAGAAACAGAGTTGCATCCACATAAGATTTTGACTAATGACTTTTGGTTTCATTTTCCTTTCATTGTGGAAACACAATAATAATAATAATAATAAATAAAATAAAATTTGCACTATATAAGATTCTTTTAAACTGTTGTATGTTGGAAGCTACACTGGGGACAACATCAACGACTTAGCCCGGCACCTCTTCCTTCCTTCATATTGAAACAATAATGGGTGTGTGTTTATTCATTAATTATAGAATTTAAATTCCTAAATTTATTTTAATAATTCATTGTATGATTCCTTTATATATTTTGGTTTCCGAGTTTGACAATGGGCATCTCAGTAAGAGGAAGTTTTTTAATTTTTAATTGTTTGGGACAATAAGAGGAAGTTAAGGTTGTTCACACAAGTAATGATAAAGTGATAAATAACTTTGAATGCACAAAGTAAGAGATAAATTCAAAATATATATATATATTGATATTGTATTGATAATTGGATATGTGACTCAACTCTCTCAATTACATATATTGATAATGAAAGAAAACCCTAACTTACAAAGAAATAAACAACAACATGAAACCTTATAACATAAGAATCTCGATAGTAAACTAATACTAGAAATAAGTCAAAAAATAAAGTTAGTCTAAAAATTTTGAAAAATTTGAGAAACCTAGTCAAATAAAATTACTAAATATAAAAATTGAGTGCAATCCGAATTCGTTTAGACAACGAACAAATTCAAAATATTCAGCAAGCTTCCTATAGGATTAAAAAAAATAATAATAAAATAAAAAATAAAAAAAAAACCAAACAACACAACTGTTTTGTAGCCCTAAATGATGTTATTGGGCTAAAACGCACATTTTGAAATCAACCCAAAAAATCTGTAAACATGACCCTATGACGGTCTAAACAAGCCATATAAACTTCAGCAATCACCTGTACATCAGCACTGAAAATGAGGGAGTGCACTAGGAAGATACTATTTGATCCTGTAAAAGATAAATTTCAGTTGAGTGTATACATACTATTTACCTATCGGAGTGTGTATTATTTTACCTATGGGGTGACAAAGCTAATAATACCATGACATCATCTATCATGATCTCTGTAATTCTTTTATTACATAGAATGATATTTAAGACCCACAACTTTTCTGGTCCCTGTTATACTAGTCCAGATTCCCCAAATCTTTTTAAGACTCCTTGAATTATATTTCAATGAAAACCAACTTTCGGTGTTTTTGTTGCTTCGTTAACTGCGACGGTTACTTTCATCGGTTCTGAAAATTATCATCGGAGAAATGTTTAAGCATTTCTATGTGTTGGCTGCTCTGGTTTTAGTAATATTATGCATGGAAATGAAACCAACTCTTGGATCATTCACTAGTTCAAGAGTTGGAGTTGATGGTAAAGTGAGTTGCATAGAGAGTGAGAGACAAGCTCTCCTTTAGTTTAAACAAGGGCTCATTGATGATTTTGGCATTCTCTCTTCTTGGGGGAGTGCAGAAGAGAAGAAAGACTGCTGCAGGTGGAGAGGAGTCCGATGTAACAACAGTACCGGTCGTGTGACGGTGCTAGATCTTCATGCTGAGTCTCCTCGGCGCAATATTGGTTATCAGCATTTGAGAGGTAAGATTAGTCCTTCATTGATTGAATTGCAGCATTTGAAGTATTTGGACCTCAGTAACAATGATTTTGAAGGGAGCTACATCCCAGAATTCATTGGTTCCTTTAGCAGATTACAATACCTAATCTTTTTTTGGCTGGTTTTGTTGGCACGATTCCTAATCAGATTGGGAACCTTTCTGAATTGAGGTCACTTGCTATTGCTGGAGATCTCCATGTGAAAAACCTTGAGTGGGTTTCTCATCTTTCTTAATTAAGATACCTTGATATGAGTTTGGTTAATCTTAGCAAAGCAATAGATTGGATGGAATTACCCAATAAGCTCCCTCTCCTAACAGAACTGCACTTGAGTTATTGTGGTCTCCATGGTATCTTTTCTCCCTCACTTCCATTGATAAAGATAAATTCTTCTGCGTCATCTCTTGCTGTCCTTGATCTCTTTGGCAATTCTTTGACTTCTACAATATACAGTTGGTCGTTCAATTTCAATACTAGTCTTGTTGAAAATTTACAAGGTCCGATCCCTGATATTTTACAAAACTTGAATTCCCTTGCCTATTTTTCTCTGACCTACAATCAACTTGAAGGCGGGATACCAAAATCCTTGGGGAACTTAAGTAGTTTACAAGCATTATATCTGCGTGGCAACGAATTAACTGGACAGATTTTAGAGTTTGTTCAGATCTTATCCGGAGGTGCAGAGAAGTCGTTAGCTGATTTAGATCTTAGTATGCATGAATCGACTTGGTGGTTCATTGCCAGAAAATATCTCTACATTTTCATCCTTGTGCTCTTTGGAACTTGATGATAATCAATCGAATGGGTCTTTACCGGGAAGTTTGGATCAACTTCACAATCTAGTTACGCTAGACTTGTCTCACAATCGAATTACAGGGTTATTACCAGATCTCACTGCATTTTCTTCATTGGAAGAGTTGCTACTTGAAAACAATCAGTTGACTGGAACACTACCCAAAAACATTGCACAATTTACCAAGCTCAAACGTCTTGATGTCTCTTCAAACTTATTGAAAGGTACAGTCTCAGAAGCTCACTTCTCAAATCTCCAACTTATCCTACTTTTCAACTGCATATTTTAGGGTCCTCATTTACCAAATTGTTGGTTTCGAACTCTAAATAATTATTCCAGGCTGATGCTAGAATTTCTGATGTTGTTCTAAGTGGTTTGGGAATTTATACATCTCCCACATTTTCTTACCTAAGTGTCACACCCCGCTACCAAGAGGCTATGCCACGCAGAAGCCCAGCAGACGATGACATGGAGCCTGCATGGACTG